TGGATATGGGCATGGGCACCACCATGTTTATGAATCCATTGGGAATTACTCAAAGACAAAAGCAGATGGATATCCAATACGGCCTGGACCAGGATCTCACAGCTCAGGGGCTACATCCACACCCCCATCACAGAGAATGGCCCCCATGAAAAACTCTGGGAACACTCCTGTCAAGGAATACATGAAGCCAGCACCAGATTCCACAACACAAGAGCATAAGGAACAGGTATTTATAAATGGTTTTATCCACTAATCAATAGTTAAGGTGGTATTTATTTGATACTTTCCAGAGATTTTAACAATTTATTTTCAGTGCATAGAATTCAGATAATTAGTTTTGGTTCTTATTAGCATAAAAAATAATATCTTAATATCATCTATAACATCATTTTTAAAGAGCATATTGAATTTAATTTTTTTTTTTTTCAAAAATCCTAACTTATTTTTTTTGAAGATGATTCCTATTATTTAGGTGTATATTTATTTTAAACTTATTTTGAAATCAATACTATACTTAAAATTGTGACCCTAGATTCCATTTTATACTAAATCTTTATGTGTGTAAATGCTAACTTGTCAATTTTATTGAAGTTCAAATGAGACATGGCTTATGAATGCAAACTAATAATTTGCATCTATTTAATTTTAGCACCTTATTCATTTTTTTCCTCTTTTAAAATAAAATGCCATTTAATGTAATCCTTTCGTCTATTTATTCAATTTTTTTTTCAAGGGTTTGACTATCATTCTTTTCACTACATATACATTATTAGATATACTTTTTAGAATGCCTTAAAAATTTCAAAGAAAATATAGAATTTCCAATTTATACACTTAATTTAATTTTCAGTTTCGGATAACAATAAAGAAAAATCCTGGCCTAGGCTTTTCAATAGCAGGTGGTATTGGTTCCCATGGCAACCCATATAGAGCTAATGATATTGTGAGTACACATTAAACATATACTAGTAAATTAGAGCACATTTGTTTAGTGAATTTAGTTGTACAGGGCCTAGATTTATATAAGTTACCCTTCAGTTTCAGTTTCTACAAGTTTATTTTGATTTAATTACCAAGCAATGGCACTATTTTGAAGTAAAATAATGTAGGCCCATCATGAAGTTTTGTATATTGCATTGATGGCAGCACTCTTTTCCCCAATGTAAGTCTGTTAATTAGGGGTCCAGATTTTGAACTCAAAAAGTGCCAGTATATGTGAACGAAACTTTATAATCAGGAATGCCTGTACTTGAAACAATATGTTATATATATAATATAAAAATATTAAATACATTTTTACACATGCATGTTGGTGTATGAAGGAAAGAGTTATGAATATTCACTGTTCTGGAAATAAATTAAAGCAAATAAATTAATTTACAATCTGTATTCTTAGGGCATATTTGTTACCAAAGTTATACCAGATGGACCAGCCTCAAAATTACTCAGACCTGGAGACAAGATATTAGAGGTAGGTGTTATAGTCTTGTTTACGAATTTATTGTCAAATTTTTTTTTTTTTAAAGTGGGGGAGGGGGGGGGGGTTGTGTTGTTTTTTTTTAATGCTCTGTTTTAAAAACAGAAATCTTCACTGCAACACATAATTTTTACTGTTATTTACAGTGTAAATAATAGAAAAAATAAAAAACAACAGGCCTAAAATTGTCATATTATGTATCTGATGTTTTATTAGATTAGAGTTAGATTTTATTGAACATTAATAATAAAAAAGAAATCTCAAGTAAACAAAAAAAATTGTTCAACAGAAAATTACAATTTATATTTAAGTTTGTTTTAAAATTATTTTTAGGTAAACAAAGTGGACTTTCAAGCAATAGAGCACAATCAGGCAGTGGCGGTACTGAAAACAAATAGCAGTGTAAATCTTGTGGTGGAGAGAATACAGAAAGTCAACATGGTGTGACAAAAAGAAATGTTTATGTTGAAATTTACTGCTTGTTGATATTTATTTATTTTTGTTATAATATGCATGAAAGAAAAATATTTTAATGTTTTATTTTAGGTATTGAATATGATTGAGTAAAGCTAGATCTGACTGTTCATATAGATCTGTTTTTTGTGTGTGGCCCTATACTTCTTCCACTTTTAAGTAAAATGCTATCTAAATCTCAATATACAATTATGATGGTTACTTGGTCATAGAAATGCAATCTCATAAATTGTTATCTCTATAAATTATTTACAAAATGTTATTCCAACTTAAGAATGCCATCCTATTGTCATGTCCTAATCAGCAACTGCTTTGATACATGGTCCAAATGAAATTGTAAGTTAAACAATAAAATTATACTCTTAATAAATTTTGACATAACAGCATTAGTGGATTTTAAGTTTCCTATTAAAATTTACTAATTTTAGATGTGAAATCAAGTGAACGTGGGAAGAGATTTCTAATGCTCTGTATTATTGCTTTGATGACTTCAACAGTTCACGGTTCAATTGCCAACAAGCTTCTGCTTTCGTTTAGCTTTAGAGAATTATTTTTGATCCATTATAAAAATGTTACATTCCATCTTTAAATTAAGTGATGCTATTTACATGAACAGGAGTAAAATGTTTCCACAGGCTGTTTTGCTTATGAATTAATCTTTATTTTAGTCTAGTGCCTTTTTTTTTTAGTGGCTGTTTTCCTAATGTGTTCAGTTAAAAAATTAAATCTTTTAAAGTCATCTACTTTATTTTTTTCCAACTTTAGTACCTTTTTTTAAACTGGGTTTTATTCAGTTTTGTTAACACAGTGTTTAAAACCAAGATTTTAGATTTTGTATATAAATTGCAGTTGAAGTAGTGTTTTTAATGAGGGAAAAAAATTGTTTTGTTTTTTTTACTCTGTTCTCCAGCTTAAAAGTTTTAAAGATATTGATGTTACAGAATATTAATTGTCTTTTAATTGTTATATTAATTGAATCAGAAGATAAAAATTAAAAAATTACTTTTGAATCCATATTCCCTAAATATCTTTAAGAAATAATAAAATCTGCTGCCCTATGTGTAAAAATTATTTTCATTCAGTTTGTGAAAAAATGTATGCTCATTCATATTTTCATTTCATTCATTTTCATTTAACGTAACTCTTTAGCGAACCCATGAAATCCTAGTTTTAAATTAATCCAGATACTCTTGGCATATATTTTGAAATCTTAGTTTAAAGGAATGTTTTTAATAATTTCTTCTCAAGATTCATGTTTTTTGTTATGAATCTTTGACCCAAACTGCTGATTTTATGTGTACATTCCAGTTTAAGTGTAATATTTATTTATGTACCAATTTTACACCAGCAATTCAAAAGTTTTATCAGAATTCCATTTTAAACATCTTGTACAAAGATAATTACTTATTCCTTGATATTTATAGTATTTCTTTTTAAAAAATGCATTCCCTAAAGTAAATAAACTTTCTAATGTTTGTTAATGTTCTAATGAACAACGTGAATGTGTATTTATGAAAATATGCAAAACTTTGAAAACTTTATGCAATTAAGGCTGTGCCTCTTTTTTAAACAGTTAAGTATTTTTCATGCTTTCCCATTAAAAAGATTGTTTTAAATTTAAGACAGGCAGCATTAATTTTTGTTTTCTTGAATTTACCATTTATCATGCCTCACACAAAAACCTCATTGTTACTGGATCATGAGCTTTTTTAAAAAAAAAAACTAAATGCTTCAGTGGCTGTTTAACAGTGGTTGGTTTCCACTAATTTGATTTAAGCCGTGTGTGTCAAAGTAGGTCTTTACACATGAAAAAAAAATTTAATGTCAGTGTTGTGATTACACTTCAAATTGAATTTTTCATAAATTTTTTTTTAGTTGTTAACAATTTTATTCTAAAAATGCTTAGTAAATGCCACTGTAAATATGCATTTATTGGTTGCGAAAGTATGATAATTTAATTTGTATGTAAATAATGTTATGCAATAATTTTTTTCAAGCCTCATGAATAAACATTTTTAGGACTTTAAAGATATTTCTTTTAGAGTTTCAATGATAAAAATTTAAAGTGGCAGCATTATCAAATTGACATAAAAATTTAACCATTGGAATTAGTTTTCATTATTTTATGTGTTCTTGTATTTTCATTTTGTGAAGAAAAACAAGTAGCCTACAGTTTCCCACTGATGGATCACTTTATGAGTGTAATTTAAGCAACCTATTCACTGAACAGTCAAAAATGACTTTGTGCAAGTGTTAGATGAAGTATTTAACGATTGCCCTTCACTACATGAGATGATTGAAGAAAAGAAAATCAACTCTATCATATTTTTAAAAATATTTAGTTATTTAATCTTCCTTGCAAATTAACAGATTTGATTATGTCATTAAAAAAATTGTTTAAACGACATGTAAAGATTAATATTTCATAGGCACTTCTAGAGGTTAACAATAATACATAACATATACTATGGGATACGTTTTCATAAGGAGTTTAGGACATTATTAATTATATAATTAGCTGCATTCACATCTTTTTAGAGTACAATTTTATTTTCCCCAATAAATTGTAGCTTTTCTATCTCTTTAATAGCCACCATCATTTCACACAAATATATCTGTTACTAACAGTAAACAAATTCTTACCAAATAAAAATTAATTTGGATGAGGATTATTTATTGTGATTAACTTATCAATTGGCTACTAACACAAAATTAATAGATAATTTGACAAGTGTTAAACAACCATTTCTTAATTGTGCTGATTTCTTTTTTATTTGCACTACCTCGCCATCGGCAAAATTGCATTTCGCGCATAAAGTTAATGCATAGGTAAATCATGGAAAACACAGTAACTGGCTGGATATCAAACTAACCCATATAATAAACTGCAAACGTTGTTGCATAGTACACCTAGAATCAAAATAACAAAACATGTATAACATGCTAATAATAACAAATATATTCATGTATATATTTAAAAAAATGGGTAAATTTGATTCAGTATAACTAAAACAACACAGCAAAAGCAATACAAATTTTTTTTTTTTTTCAAACATAATTTCTTAAAAACATTCTTTAAAAAAAACAAATGTAGCAGATGACAAACTTTTTCAAAATGGAGACTTGTTAAGAATTTTTTGGCTTTAATTGTCAAAATTCTTAATGAGGTTAATTGAACTATTCTGACTATTGTTACAAAAGACATTATTTTAACAAGTTTACATAATTTTATTAAAACTTAAGTACATGTCTTCAATTTTTATTCTAGTCCTTGCTAGAATATGTCAACATTCATTCACTCCAAATGAATTCCAGAATTATGAAATAATATAATAAGAAAACACGATAAATAAGAGTTTGCTATATTCTCATGAATAGATAAAAAGTATTCCTTTGCTGTTTTCGCCAAGACATGTCAGACACAAATCACAGGAAAAAAGGAAACATTGTTACATGTCTTCTTCTTCTTCTTCTATATCTTAAGGGCCCACGATCAATTTATTGATCATTTTGGCTCCTATGCATGTAGATGGGATTTGCAATGTTTCTGTTACTGGTGGTGATGAGGAAATTATGCACTAGGGGTTTGAAGGCTTGAGGCAATAGACACAAATGTGTCTAGTGTTGTCGCCTCAACTGTTCCTTTTGAAAGATGGTTCCAGTCCCTGATTGTCTTGGGCAGGAATGAGCAGCTCCTATACTGGCTTCTTGCTGGTATGAGCCTGAATTGCCTGTCATGGCCTCGTCGCTGTCTATGGGGGAGAGGGACGAGTTTCTGTTTAATACTGGAACAGTGGACCAGCCCATTATTTATCTTGTACATCATGGAGAGCCTGGATTGTCGTCGTCGTTTCTCCAATGGTGACCAGCCTAGTGTTTCTAGCATGCTGCCAACACTAGAGGTATTCCTGTAGCGGTTTAGGACAAAGCGTGCTGCTCGTCGCTGGACCGCCTCCAACCTGTCAATGCTCTTCTGGGTAAATGGGTCCCATACTGAAGATGCATAATCTAAAATCGGACGGATAAAGGCTTTATATGCTCTTTCTTTCACACAGGAGTTGCCAATCTTTAGATTTCGCCTTAAGAACCCCAAGGCTTGGTTTGCTTGGTTACATACATTGTTAATATGCTCGTCCCATCGGTTACATACATGTATAATACTAAAGAAAAGTTCTCAGGTAAGGAGGAGATGTGGAGATATAATTCTTAAAGACATGTTATGGAATGCTTGGGAGATGCGGAAGAAGTTCTGCATAAAATAATTTCACTGTCTGGTTGATTATGGATTACCAAATGAAGAAATAAAAACTTTGAAGTACGTGGAAATACTAGATACTACAATTTAAAATAGTTTGAAATCATTTCAGTGCTATAGCAAATGTTATTGATGTTTTTTATAAAATTTTTAATGTTTACATTTAAATTTAATTAATGTTAAGTCAAAGAACCTTAGAGAACATGCTATGCATAATTTATTATAAATGTAGTGCATTACATTAATCATAAGGCAAATTTGGTAGGAATATTCATTTACCTAAGAAACAACAATCATTAACAATTTAATAAATAATTGGTATATGCTCACAACATAGAAAAACAACAAGCTGCATGGCACAAATTAACAAAAAGAAAAACTGATACTTAATTATAGCTACTTTATACACTAAGTTAAACACATCAGAATGTATTAGAACGATTTATTGTAGCTAATACTGTTTTAAAACAAATAATATTTTATTGCAAGATTTTTAAAATTTTATTTTTGATGAAGGAAAAAAACAACAACGATGATGTCTCTTAAAAGACCTCTTCGATAAATGATGGGATGTTGGTGGGGGGGGGGGAACGACATGATGTAAGATGAATGAATTTTATGTAATTATACTCCCTTAAAAATAATATTTGCCAGAAGACATAAAGAGATAAAAACATGTCCATCTATGAAACTCATAGAACACAGCACCACAAATAAATTTTAATTTTGATGGAAGAAAAAAACAACAACGGTGATGGCTCTTAAAAGGACGCTTCGGTAAATGAAGGGATGTTGGGGGGGGGGGGGGGAACGACATGATGTAAGATGAATGAATTTTATGTAATTATACTCCCTTAAAAATAATATTTGCCAGAAGACATAAAGAGATAAAAACATGTGCATCTATGTAACTCATAGAACACAGCACCACAAATCATTTTAGCTGCCTTAATTTCTGTATCATACATATAAAAAATTTATTGCAAAATGAAAAAGAATATTGTTTACAGAAAATATGATTTTAGAGACATCCAGGAACATGTCAATGGTGAAGTTTCACAACTGGGTAAAGCAGATTTAATTATGGCAATAAAATGATCACAAATTGGATCTGATCTTTTCATGAAGATTAAACATGTAGTCTGTTTCACTGGCAAACTTCACACAACAACCACAATTTTCCCCCACATTGAGAATTTTCACACAGTTACCAGTTTCATCAGATAACGAATCTGTGACTTCTAATGAAAATGAGTTCAATAAAGATATGATGAAATGAAAAATGCTTAAAACATTAAATCATGAAAAATAAAATATGGTTATGCATTGTTATGAAATAAACATTACATGAATATTTCATCTTATTTTATATTATTTAAAATGAACATTTGTATAAATTAAATATAATACTCCAGTTAATTTTAAAAATTATTCAATAATCAATAGCTTAATTTACTTTTGTAAGAAATTCTACATTTTAAAAAATAATAACTGTACAACATTTAGTATTACATAACTTATGAAGGCACCATATAAAAATGTTATAATTTTTACAATGAATAAAATATGAAAGTTTTCAATTGGTTACATATCAATTGTGTAAAGTTATCTTATGACAAAAATATGAAGATCACAGGAAGATAAATTCATTTCAAAGAAAGCCCAAGGTAAAACAACTAAGTTGAACAGGAAAACAAATTTAGAGATTCAAAAGGGTCCTGATCTCATTAATTCTAATATCTCTTCGTTGATCTGCTGAAAGTTTCTTGTCCAAAACACCATTTATGAGTTGTCTTTTCTTGTCCTGTAGTTCTAGCATCCTTTCTTCTATTGAGTCCTCAATTACAAACTAGAACAGAAAATTGATTTATAGAAAGTTCCATTTTAAAAAAAAAAACTTCTTATCCTCCTTTAAAAAAATTGTTTTAGGAATACCTAAGAGAAGTGGTAATGGACCACTATTTATTTGAACTATGCAGATTTCCGACATACATAAGATGTCACATTATGACATGAGTGCTGTTTTTTGGGGGGTTGAAATCTGTTATTTCTGAGTCAATACAAGTTTTTATTCTACATAATTTTTCACTGTATTTAATTTTTTTAAAATCTTTACTATAGTTTGTAATTGAAACATTAAAATTGAAAAGAGTAGACCTGAATCAAAACGAACACCTTTTGAGAATTGTGATGAACAAGGCTCTTCATAGTCATGATTTATAAACTACATATCTAGACATAATCATTGCATGTACTTTTGCAAATGTTTAATTAGATTAAATACACAAGGCATCAGACTAAACTATATTGAAAGGCCCACTGAAAATCAGAATAAGTTTAATTGACTGTCAAGCATTCTTTGACTGAGTCTTTTGAGCTGGTGGGTAATGTTATCACTTAATGGATCTTTCCAGGAAAAAATATCTTAAACTGATAGGGTCAAAGGACACATATTAACATTTACACTTGTTGAAAGATAAGAATGGAAATAGAATTACCTTTGTTATTATGACATCACTTGTTTGGCCAAGTCTATGACAACGATCAAAGCACTGATCTTCTGCAGCAGGATTCCATGCCTAGATGGAAGAAAAAAAAATTAAATAAATTCGGGTAGGTTGGTAAATTAATGTCACAATGTTTTGTATTGAGAGGAATACATTTTTGTCTGGAAATTTTTGTCTGCTGATGAAGCATGTTAGCGAAAGGGTATAATTTTACTTTATTTTAAATAAAGTTATACCATTTGTTGAGCTTCATAACTTCAATTTTATCAAAATTGACATGCACTAATGCAGTTTTGAAAATACCAGCTATGAAAATACCAAACAAACTTTTTAAAATTTCCGCTCTCTTAAATTAAGCTTTTTAATTTAAAATAATAAATTTTAAATTCTGTCACTTACTGGATCCATAAGGAAGACACGAGAAGCTGCCGTCAAATTTATCCCGACACCGCCTGCTTTAAGTGAAAGTAGAAATATTGTAGGAGATCCCGGGCTTTTGTCAGAAAACTGGTGAACAGCTGCTGATCTATCACCAGCCCTCATACTACCATCCAGACGAGCAAATTTAAAACCTTGTTCCCTGTGATTAAAAAAAAACTCAACTCAATCCAGTAACCTTTCTTAAAATCATTTAACAGACATCAAATAAGAGGTAGCATCTTGTGATTTGCAAACAACAGGTTATCTGTTTATGCGTAATTTTTTCTTTATCAAGATGTATACTAAAAACCTTTGTTGACTTTTAAAAGTTGCAAATACCAACATTTTAAAAAAGCGTGCCTATTCTTCCTACAAAAGCTGTTAGCCAAAGTTATATTTTTAGTTAAATAATATAATTTTAGGAGCTGTCTAACCCTCCAGGTAATATTTTTTGTAACAAGATTTACTGCCATTAAATGTTTCTTCGTATCCATAATAACAACCAATAAAACAAGTTGCTGATGACATAATATAACAAGGGTCAAAACTTACTCTAACGGTGTTTCCAGTAGAGTCAGCAATGCAGTAAACTGTGAGACTATGACACTCTTCACATTTGGGTCTGACAAACGCAGTTCATGGAGGGCTTTCATAAGGGCATCAACCTGTTGTGGCAACAATTCAAGTTTTATTTAATGAAGTAACATTCATAGTAAAAGCGTAAGTTAAGAGGCTGATACCAAGTTCCTCTTTCATCTCTTTAATTACACAGTCCCTCAAAACCCCTCCTAGCCTCTTCCCTCCCCAACCCCTCCTAGCCCCTCCAAAACCCTCCTTAACCCAAATTACCTATATGCCTTGTCGGATAAAAATAAATAAATACATCATTCATTTCCTTCTACCAAGCTCACTTGCTAATGTATCCTGATATGATCTTTGCATCTGCTCCATAATTGTTTGGCACAGTACATTTAAATTTGTAACTTTTAAAATTATTTTTTTTTAAATGTTTTAAATTGATTCAGAGAACTCATATTTTACATTGAAAGGAAAAGATAACTTAAATAAAATGGTAAAATATGATCTGGTTTGATGAGGATTAATCTATTCAATAAACAGTAGTAAATAAATTTTACCTTAGCACTAGACTTCCACTCATTGGGAGCGATTTCTAAACTTTCTTGATTTCCATTAACGTTCTCAGCATTCTCAGGGACTCCATAGAGTTCATTTTTTTCAACCAAAGACCTACACATTGGGCATCTTGCTTCATTCTGGCAAAGACACAACCATGTAGTTGAATGATGATATTTGTGTACTATTAGATACACAGTTTCATAAAAACCTCTATTATAATTTTTTAGTTTTATATTTTTTAAGATATACCAAAAGCAGGCAGTAAGGAATAAATGATAATATAATAGTTACTTTAATTAAAAACCAGTAACATTTGCCCATCATTCCCAAAACATCTTATTAATCTGTCAGTAACTAACTATGTCAATCACAGATTCCTGCTTTCATTCTTTTTTTCTTTTCTGGATCTGCTATAAAAGTATTTAAAAAATCCAAAATGGCGTTTAACACTTTATATCCACATGACACCAAGCAGTGGTGACCCATTCCGGGATCCCACACAATTTTGTTAAGTAACTTTAGTAGATGGGGAGTTCATGCATAGCTGCAACCATTTTTTGGTAGGCTATAACTAGTTGTCATATATAGAAACATGTATTAAGATTCATAATTTTGTTTGTATTAGAAATGAGCCCCTTGTAACAAATTAGAAAATTTTGCTTGTAAATATAGTGACAGATTCAAAACTAGAATTAGCGACATTGGAAGTCTTGTGTATAGATGTGTTGTAGAGAAGTACTGTAATGATTTAGGAAAAATTCTAAAGTGAATGTGTAAAAATGAAGGATAACTCATGGATTAACATAAGAAGACTGATAAAAAAAAATCTGCTCTGAAAATCATGATCAGTAACATGCTGACTACACTTCCAAACAATAAGCATCCCAGGTTTTTTACCAGGTTCATTTAGATATCATGTTCGATACACTTCCTGTATTAAACATACCAGGTTTGTTTCGATAACATGTTCGATACACTTTCTGCAGTAAACATGAGCGCAGGACGTGATAATCGGCTCCTTAAGACTCTCCAGGCATATAGAGCACTCCTCATCTGAACCTGACTCAAGAACGGCCATCAGCTGCGCAATCAACTTTTGCCTGTCTCCCTTATCCCCTTCTGAGATGGCGTTGTCGCTGTGGAGAATGTCATCAAGGACTGCATCTGAAATCAAATGTAATGTTCTATTCAGTGAATAGGTTAAACAATCTGAATAGATACATTTTGGTGAATTAAGTGGCAGATGAAGAGATAGTCAGAAACCGTTACCTGTAGTTATAAAACTTTTTGCCGAGATAAATAAATTAGACACAGGGATGAAGATTAGAGGAGCACCCTTTGCCATATTTTTGTAATCCCTGGCACTTTTGTCTCATCAGCCTCTTGTTGCAGATGTGATGCAACATAATCAACTTGGCAATGGAAGCTGTCATTTACTTCCCTTACAAAATTGTAATTATAATTTTATAATTTAATTTTTACCAATAAAATATACATATTTATTTACTTCTATATAATATAAATAACTTCAGCATCATAAAAAAATAAATAAAATGAGTTATTATAATATAAATAATACATATGAATGAAAAACATTGAAAATGTGCACCAGACCCGAACATACACAAAGTGACTTAAATTTTTTTATGATTTCAGAATTGGTTAGTTATCCAATGTTATAAAATTTAACTTTTATTGACTAAATTATAAATGTTTGTAGTGCAAAGCATTTCATATTCATGAGCACTTTCCCCACAAGATCATGAAATGTTATGAGTTTTACCCTATTTCATCTATGCTTGTCTATATGTTAAAGCAGCAACCTTTGACACGCATGCCAGACTTGGCACGCAGATCCATTTTTAATGCTACTCAGAAGATCAAACAGAATAATAAATAACTAAAACCATGTCATAATAGATAGACTTACAGATTGTTGGCACAATATTTTGGCAAAATACTTCGAAAAGGTAACAGATAGACTTACAGATTGTTGGCACACTATTTTGGCAAAATGCTTCAAAAAGGTTGCAGACCCTTATATAAAATGTAAAGACATTGTCTTAGTTAACCCTAAACAAACAAACCTGGGTTCTTATTCTTAGCCAATGTCTTGCGTACCAGCAAGGAATGACAGCATAACTGACGTAGCCGTAACAAGAGGGTTAAAATAGTTCCATAATGGTTGAGCAAAGTCCCATCATCACAGAAACTGGATTTGGAATTTTTAAAAAAGAATTAATTTTTTAAATAATGTTTTCAACATTCCTCTATTAATCAGTGGACACAAAAATAAAATTAAACAATGGGTAGGCCATTAAAATTATAAGATGACATTAAAAAACATTTGATAAAAAAATTTTTAAAATTACTCTTTACACTTGCCGGTTATTATTAGAAAATGTACTTTCAACATATCAAGAACTAAAGAACACTAATTTCGCCGCTTTTTTAAAATATAAATAAATAAATTTCAGAACCATTTCAGGAAATTATTCCCAAGCTCAAACCTATAAATATTGACTTTGGTTAAATGAATTAAACATTTTCCACTTTGCACTCACTCTCCAAAAATATCTTGACTTCTGTTCTGCACTGCATCATATACACTTCGCTCTTCTGGACTTAAAGTAATTTTCTCTAAGTACACGTGGCGTCCTGGTAGACTCAGAATGGGTTTTCCATTCAGCTGCTGGTTCTTTGTACGGCGCAATGCCAGGTTTCTCACAAGATGAGCAACACGTCTTCAAAACAAATTTGATATCAGTCAATTCATGCTTTAATTTAGTTATACAAAGCTAACACAGTGAGGTTGGGGTCCAGACCCCTAGAAGAAATAAGAAAATGTCTAAAAACCAAGAAACATCCTTGTTTATCTAATAGGATGTAGGGGGTCTAAGAATTTGATTACACTGGTAATGAACTTTTCTACTAAATTATTCAATGATTTAACAAGTATGAGTGTGCATAGTTTATTTAACTATTTGAGAAATTGTAACATACTTTAACAGATCTAAAAGCAACACACCTAACGGCTTGAGGCTCATGCTTAATCATTGGCACAGCAATAATACGATTCCAGAAGTGCTTCTCTGTGAATGGTTCCACTTTCAGGAAGTTTATTAAAGACCATAAATCCTTTAGGGAATTCTGAATTGGTGTACCTGATTGACGATATAAGGGGGAAAAGGTGTTTATACAATTTACTAGTTTAAATTTGCGCATTGTCATTTTAAAATTTTAAATTGTGATTTTAAAAAATTAATCACATTAATAAATTGTAGTACTTATTTGGAGCTACATTCTTTTTTAAAAAGATGTCATTTTAAACACACAAAAAAATGTTTTACTTTAATAAAGAAAAGGTTGAAATAACTCAATTTTAAGTTTATGTCCCACACAAATTTAATTTTCATTGTTTGCTTTTTAAAATAAATATAGCATGTTCAAAGAATAGTAGCATTCTGTAATTTTTTAAAAATCTGAAACTATAGATCTTATAGAAGCTCTGGAGGTAGGCATATGTGCTTAACAATTTCATTTCCCATTACTTTAGATAGGATAAATCATAATAAATTTCAGATATAGATACATAAACCATTGTACAAACATTAAAAAATTTTTACACTCTTTTCATTAGACATACATATTTTAACTGAATATTTTTTATTTTATTTTTATATCAGGTATTTAAAAATAATCCTAATCCACAAACAAAATTACCTGTTAAAACCCATCTTCTCTCTGCCTCAAGTTTGAAGATGGCTTTTGTTTGCTGGGCAGCAGGATTTCTAATGATGTGTCCTTCATCCAGGACAACACGGAGCCATTCAACTTGATGTAGTGGACTTGAGTCACCTCGCTGAAACATTGAACTGATTAATTATCTTTCAACCATGCTGGTGAGAATGCAATTAAAGGGATCGAATGTCAAATACTTCTATAAAAAAATATTAAAAGTAAAAAGGCTTTTTAAAAAAATGTAAATTTATGTGTCCGGGGAAAATAGTGACACTGGGATTTAATAAAACACAAATGACAAATAAATATTTTATTTATGTATTTCATATATATAAGGAATAAATATATTTATTTATTTTATAATTATAAACCTACTGCTTGTTAATAAAATATATTTTTGTTTTAATTAAGAAAATAATCAGAATTCAATAATTATTAAATAATCTGGTCAAAATAATGTGTATATGGGTATAGTTACTAACTTAACTAAATTAAATATGTTTACCTTTTATTACCTTTTATAAATATGACTCAAAATATGAAGGAAAAAAAATTTACCTTAAAGTCAGACATAAGTGTAGAGTATGTTGTTACAACAACATCTTGGCCTTTCAGGAATTCAACATCTAAAGTACGCTTCTGACCATAATACACATGTAGATTGATGAGAACATTGTCTGCAATGTGCTCCTCGAATTGATCCTGTCATGTAAAAAATTGAAACATTGATTCTACACAACTCATATTTCCCTGTCCCAAAAACCATTTCAGCGTATTAAAGATGTCTTCTTTTATAAAACAACATGCCATTTGCAATAATTATAATGACCAGTTTTCTTTTGAACCCAGAAATTTGTAGCATAAGTGTTTTAAATTCATAGAAGTTTATGGCATGTCATAAAGATTTAGTAAAACATTTTATACAAAATTATGAACCACTATAATTTCAAAACTTCATTTGGGTTTTAGCAGAGAGTTTTACAAGGGAAAATTAAGTAAATTTGTGGATGAATGAGTTAATGATTTAATGCTTCACTTACCACCCAATTGCTGATCACACTCAATGGGCAAATTATTAGAGTTCCCCGTGGAGAATTTGTACATGTTCGTCCAGTCTCCTTATCAACATAAGCATTTACTTTTTGAGACAGCTCTGGTGATATAGATAATTAATCATAATTTAATTATTTAGTTGTTAGGATGATTGTAAACACGTTTAAGAGAATAAAGCAGCAGCACTAGTGGCTAATGACTCAACATCAGCCTTCCGAATCATCATCTTCTAATTTCACAGTAAATTAACAAGTAAGTATATTAAAAAATTATACAACTTTTAAATCTCTTACTCTTGATTGCCAGCTTCTTTTTAATCAAAGGTGACACAATATCTGGCAACTCATCTTCCGCTGAGGGAAAGAAAATAAGAATAATTTTTATAACATAATCCAAATAGCAGCTTTGCTTATTTATTTTTTTGAGGTTAGAAATTAATCAAGTTGTATGCTTTCAAAAAGGAGGACAGAATCATCTTAGCTGTACAAAAAATATGTCACTCAAAAATGTTTGATCTCTATACCTTTTTAGACCTTTTAATAATTTTAATAACTTTCAATACATGCAGGTGTCATCATTATTGTCTCAACATTATTTTTTGCATTCCAAATTACAAATCTAATTGATAAGAAAAGACATTTTGTGCACCTCTATTGTTATGAGTTGTTTTGAATTTTTCTTTCAAAACTTTGTTCCTTTAAAAACGTTACAGTAAGGGATTTCCTTATTAAAAAAATAAATAAACAAAAAAGGTAAAAACACTTTAAACTCACAGTCAGAGATGACAATAGCAGCTTCCTGTACTTTAGTTTCACTGTAATCATTAGGCTCAGGTTTCACAACTTGTAAATCCTCAGAAACCATGATAACATCTTGGGAATTATTGGGCACGGTGTTTGCATTGTCTGGTAGTGCATCGACATCGATTGCTTCCTCCAAGCTGTTGCCATGTTCAGTAACTTGTTCTAAGAGCTTTTTTTCAGGGTATTCTGTTTTATTACGAGTCAGATGGGGCCCATCAATGACATCTGAACAAGATAGAAAAAAATAAAAATGTAATTTCTCTGACATCTTAAAATGGGGGTGAGGTTGTTGATTTGATGGAAACATGTCAGCACCATAATTTCCTGAATTAAGTTATGATTATAAAGCTGAAAAATAAGTACCGTATTTATCGGCATATAACACTCACTTTTTCTCCCTGCAAATAGGGGGTAAATGATGTGTGCGTGTTATACGCTGATATAATGTTAAGGACCCATAGTACATACCGCATAGAGGCGCAAATGGTGCGTTTGATACGCCTGTGCGTGTTATAGCCGATAAATACGGTAATTAAATTTCAATATAATATAGTTATCATAATACATAAGAGAATCATGCTCAGTTATAAATTATTATAGCTGATTTTATTATTTAAAAAAATATAATAATCAAAGTTTATAAATGAATCAACTTTTTATTGAAGTTTACTAAATGAGCTATTGATTGGTTTTTTTTTTAGGTTTTTTTCTTTAAATCTTCTGGAGCAGAACCATGTGTATTTCTTTACCAAAATGTAAATATTAAGATTACAACACCAATCAAAATAGTTTTTTGTAATTCTTACTATTTTGAACATGTAAATCTCCAACTGGGACATCTTTATAATCTACTGGCTGTTGAAGTTCTCCTGGGCTGCAATTCTGTGATGAGTTCATCGCAACCAATACTGCAACTTCTGAGGATTCTTGATTTTTAGATTTCTTTCCTACACCTTTACCTTTAAACTCATTTCCTGAGAGATAATAGTTTTATATATTTAAGAAACAGTTAAGGACAAGAAACTGTGTAAGAAACAGTTAAGGACAGCAGTTTCTTTAGTAATAATTTTCTCCCTCCAAAAACTGACAAGGAGGAAAGTTGATTTATACTGTGTGCAAATTCAAATTAATTTTTTCAATTTTGTTAAAAGGGCAATACAACTTAACCCTTTTGCCAGTTTTGTCCTTTTAGCCTATCAATTGGGAGGCACCATTAAGGAACTCTTCATTTGTTTATTTAATTTTTATTTTAAAGAGAAGAAGACATAAGTCATAAGTATATCAACTCAGGAAGTCCAACTCCTTCAGGCAATAGGTCTGCAAAAGTGGTGATCCAATTGATGTTAAATAAAGATTACAGACTGATTGATATGTATTGCTTTATGTCCAGTAAAATGGTTTAAAATAGTTTAGTAATCAAGGATGCAGCTTAGCCATGTGATTCTAAAAGTAATAATAGATGACAGTTAACAAAATAGGTTTTGTTTGTAAATGTAATTTAGTCAAATTAACAACAGCTCAAGTATTTCGCAGAGCCTAAACTGGATAAAGTAGGGCAACATCTTTAACTTGTAAGAACTTACCTAAACAAAGTGATAAATCCTCAATATCTTCATCATCAGAATCGACACACCAAATTGATCTTTTTGAACTCCTACATAAATTAAGATTGTAAATGTAGATTTGATAGGCAATAATTGTAGAGTAAAAGTGTCACATTGTTTTCAAACTTCCCATGAAAGTTTATATTGTGAAAAAATTATATAGTGTCATAATTTTGTCACACTATGGAAAAATAAATTTTAAAAAAAAACATTCTGATTTAATTATTTGTTTTTAAATTTTTAATTATGAACAAATAAAAACTGACTGGACTAAAATCAGTTTTATGAAAACAACAATTCATTTTAATTTATATCATTGCTTTGCATTTTTTAATGTTTAGAAAACTGCATACATTTAATTTCTGATCCAAAACAAAAACAAAAAACAACTGTGTTTGGCCTCCAAAGACAGTTGCTAGAAAGAAAAAATTTGAAGACAATATAAAATTCTTACAAGTCTGTTAACATATTGTTCATTTTTAAAACAAAGCTCTACTTTTATGTAAATTTATTAAAGTCAGCTTCAAAAAATAATTTAATCCATTTTATTTAATTTCATGACAGGAAAAATAAAAAATTAAATTTGAAATAAGTAAGTAAGAAGTGAGCTGCTTGGACAATGGATGCATTATTGGTAATGCAAGCTTAGAACAGGGATCATTTTTCAAAAGTAACACAGTATTTGAGATTTTTAAAAATATAAGTAAACCACAGGATAACTCAAACAAAATTTTTTTTAAAAACCTTCTCATTACCTTCTTGATACGGAACGTTTGAGCACAAGTGGTGGTATTGGTTTTCTCTCCAAAACCTCTGTCGTGAGATCTGTACTTCGTGAAGTCTCAAAACCAGAGGATAATGAATCTTGGTCCTCCATTTTTACTGCCACATTATTTAAAGCGTGAACTGAAATTGTAATATTTTGGACACCAATCAAATGACTTCCTAACAAAATTATTTTAAAAATGCCTTTTGTTAGTGTGCAGTTTTAGCATTTTTCAAGCACTCAGCCTTCCTTGATTATTTAATCCCTAACATAAATTAAGTTCTAAACATTACTTTTGGAAACAAAATTTTCAGTTATTTCTATTTTATGAGCTTGCAAGGAGCCAAAAACTTTTTTTTTTTTTTATGTACAATATTTTAATCAGGGATGATGAATTATACTTACAGTTATTACACTCAGAGATAATATCAACAGAAGCTGTAGATGGGTGGCTTGGAAGAATGAGCCGGTGGGGAGATGGTGAGTTGGACGAACTATCCAGACTGCTCTTAGAGTCACTTTCTTGTTTAATCCTACTAAATGAAGTGGATTTGGACATCTAGTAATGCAAATAAAACAGGTGTCAATAATGAACATATGTTTATAAAAAAAAATAATTTCAAAGGTTGTTATTTTACTGCCGAGTGCATCAGAAACACAATTAATTCCTTTTTAAAATGAGATATCCCAAGTTTTATTGTGAATATACATGCAGTTATGGTTTCAATCAAAATCTGTCTGAACATAATTTTAGTTCATTCATTTTATTTACCAACCGATGTCACTTAATTTTGATAAAAATGTATAACTTTAATGCCATTAGAAACATAAGTAAATTATAATCCATGGCAGTCATAAGTACTTTGGTTTTCCTTGCTTTTAAATTGATGCCACCAATAACCAAAAAAATATTGTCTTAAATATTATATAGAAATGAATAAAAAAACACAATCAAAATGAAAAGAATGTGAATTCAGTTTTTTTTTAACACAAAATATAAACTGAATTCATTTTAAAGTTCCCATCATGGAAAGTTTAGACATCATACACAAGAACTTAAGCATCAAAATAGGCTACCTAACCAAAGTTAAATTACAATATGAGCCTAGACTTACCTTCCCTACAGATCCAAAGTGATCCCTGGTCACTTTAGAACAGGGCTCGGCCAGAGGCTTGCCTTTAACAAAGTTGGTCACTATCAATGAGATCATTTCTAATGTTTTTCCTAGACCCATGTCATCTGCTAGAATTCCTAGAAACAATATAATGAGATTTTGATCAATTTTAGTGGACTAAAATCATGCATTCTTATTAAGAATTTTCAGTATAATAAATTACTATTCACTTGGTAAGATAAAGTATTAGGTAATAAAATAAAAGGTAAAATAAAGGTAAAATTGTCTTAAAATAGATTTCTTCAACTTATTTTTATTGATCCGCTTTGATTTCAATTGTGCATTCTTCCAAACAGATTCCAAAAAGACTATTTTTTCATTCTTAAAAAAAAAGAGGTGATATACACCATAAATATTGTACCATAAAATTCTGTATTTTCCATTTGACTCCAGATAACACTGATCACATAAGTTAAAACTTTTCAATTTCAGCCAGATCAAATATTTCAATATTTGTTGTTACTCTTAAATTCTCAACTAACCTCCGTGTATACTATCTGGCTTTTTTACTGTTCTTTCTTTAGTAAGTGTGTTTACATAAAGGTCACCCCTTTTGTTCCAGAATGGCGGAAGTGTATCTTTATTTTCTTTACACATCATCCAATTTAACGCTTGCTTCTGATGAGGGTACATAGGTGTTCTCACAGCCTAAGAACCATAATGGAATTCTGTTCAAATGATGATGTGTCCAGACAACATTATTCTGGAGGGTTCTCTCCACCAATCTAATTTTTAAAATTGTGTCTAAATCCCAAAAATTGTGTAAAAATAGTAGGTTAATAGTCTTTTATTTCAGAATTATTTCAAAATATGGCCAAAAAAACATAAAGCAACAAAAGAAATAATATAATATTGGAAGCATATGTGGTAAAATGCTGGCTATGAAACTTATTAAGTAAATAAATCACTTTTAAGTTTATGGATAAAAAAAGTTCCTTTGTTTTGGGAAGCCAACCAGAAGAGGGGGAATTTTACTGAAGCCATGCAGTAACAATGTAATCTATTTTAAATGCAATGTTTACATACAAAGGAAAATTGATGATGTACACTTACAAGTGCTGGATCTGCTTCAGTAACTTTATCTCCCTCATCTAATGTTTTAAACATTTCATCCAGCTCATTTTCCATCTGAAGACCATCACAAAATTAAATTAATAATGTATTACCCTCGGAAACCAGCATGAAGAAGGTAAATACAAAAAGACACTGAAACTATATAGCTACTAACGACAAAGTATCATCTGTCCATGAATTTGTTTTACCACAAAATTATGTTTTGGATTCATGTCCTTTTCATTTAAATGTAAATGAATAGCCCTTTCCCAAAATCAAACATAATCATAAACCCAAGAAAGTGGTGTGCCTTATTCAAATTACCTATGGTTGCAACTAACTTGAAAAGATACTTTGCTGATATTTTTTATTGTTGCAAAATGGATTTTTTTTTTAAAGTCCTAATATGCTTTTTTTTAAAATTTCAAGATGTTTTCAAAACTATATGATATATGAATAAACTGGAATAATTTAATCTAATGGAATTTTAGCTTTTTTTAAATTGTTTTAACTATGCCATTTTTATTTACCTCTATTGGCGACACATATGTCCTTGAGGACAGAACATGGCCATAGTCCATGGGAAATAAAGAGGAAGTTGGTTGGTTCTGCGTGTTGTCCATCCTAAACTGAGATTCTACTGGAATATCATTTGCCTTGAGGTAATCTAGGACTTGGCCCATTTTATCCAGATCTCCCCACAGATTGATAGTTAAAGGGAAGGAGAAAATATTCCTAGGTGTTACAGATACTTTTCTATAATAAAAAAAATGCAAAATAAATTGTTGTAATATACGAAATTTTAATATTTAGTTAAAAGTTTCTATTCAGTTAATTAAAAAAAACTATTTACTGATTAAAATTTTTGGATTTAGATTTCTTTTAAAGTGAACATGTTCAAAACCACATCAAACAAATGTGGTTTATTTCAATAAATATGAAATTAGTAATTTTAGGTTTGATGAACTTTAATGACATCAATTCCTCACAAACTGAAAATTTTACCATTCCATTTTTCATGGTTTTGTAGGCAGTGACTGCGATATTTATAGCTGACCAGATATAAAACAAAACAAAATTAAATTGTTTGCTAGTCAAAAATTATAATCTTTTTATATTTTATTTACCCTTTAATGATGGCTAGTGATTTATCCAAAATATGGGACAAAACAACTGCATGTTTTCCTTTTATAGAGCCAATTATAATTCCAAATCTATTTTCAACTTGGATTCCATAAGGGTCAAACATACTACTTGCCCTGACTAGGGATACTATTTCACCACTGGATATCTAGAGAACAACAAATAAAAATGAATCAATTGACAAAATGTTTAAAATGCATTTAAGAGAAATAGTAACTTCTTTAATAGTTCTATGACCCAAACCTCAAGTGATATTGTTCATAGATTTTAATATTACAGATATACATATTTGCCTATATGTTTTGACTGCAAGAGAAATCATTTAGCCACAATGTCAATAAGTTGGTGATTTTAAAAATAAAATTTCATCCCACTCCTTTTCACTTCAAGTTGGTGCATTGTTAAATAATATTGACTTATGTACATTTTAAAAGTAAATATGCATAAAGAAACAAAATTAATTAAAATGAATATATACTTATAAAAATACACTTATGTTTAAGAGTGACTTACTTTTCCCTTAACATTAACAATCTCAGACTCAAATTTTCCAATAAACTCTTTGCCGAAGGGTATTTCCGAGGAATGGTTTGAAAAGTCTGTCCGCCCTGATACTGAGAGATCGACAGCTTTCATAGAACTTTTAAACACTTCTCCTTCTTCATCTAGTAAGCCAGAAAGGTGGGGATCCCAATATCTGCTAAGTTCATTATTTCCTGAGCTTGAAAATCCTGAGCTTTGTGACGAGTTTGGAAAAAATTCATTTTGGCTTTGGTGTGATGTTGGAAGTAATGAAACTGTTGATGACGGAAACTCCAGTCCTTTATCTAATTGAGAAGAATTTGAATGTTCTTCACTATTTCTTAGAAGAACTGGAACTTGAATATTTGGGAGGTTAGTTATATCTTGGTCGACATTCATGGCTGCACTAGAAAATGGGGAGTTTTGGTTTGATATGTGCATATCCTGTTCTGGATGAAATACAGAGGCTGGAGGCATATCTGTAGAATCTGAACTTTCATCACTAATGTCCTCTATTCCATTCAAATAAGGACTCCAACTTCTATTAAAGCTTTGGTTATATTTTGAGTCTGGCCACAAGCTATCTTGGTGCTCCCCTGGGTAGACTGGTGCAGCTGAAGTTTGCCTTTCCCCCTCATTTAAGGGAGCTGAGCTTTGAGCTAGATCAGCAAGGTCAGAAAAATAATCTAAGTTACTTGCAGGCGAATCATTGTCCAGATTTGGTTGGAACAAGGCCAACAGATCTTCATCAGAAATACTTCCAGGATCAACTGGGTGTGAGTCTCCACCAGACTCCATGGACATTACACTAAGCATGAGTTTGGTTAGCTATGAGTAAGTAGAACAAAATAATTTCTTAGTCAAATTGTAGTGGAGCTGTCCAGTGAGTTCTCTTTAAAGTTAATACATTCTAAAATGTATTTCTTCTTCATAACTGTGAAAACTGAAATATTACCACTTTTCCTTTAGCTAGTTTCAAATGCACTTATATGTTTTTCACCAAAGGTAATGTCTGAAATAAAAAGTTAATTAATAATACAATGTATCTAAGGAGCCTTTTTTAGAGTTACTCTACAATAACATTTATTGTTCCATTTCAAATACATTTTCATATTTTAACAGCTGACATTGACAAGTTGGCCCACAAAAGACCAACCTTTCATTAACCATAAATTAACTAAAAACATAGATTCCCCCAAAGTGGATCATTAAATAAACTGCTATAACAAATTCTAACACTATGACACTACATTAAGTTTTAACTAATTAAACTGTAAGTATACATACAAAATGTAATTGATATTAAAGCAGAACTAATTAAACTATTACTATGAATGGATAACTATATCAAGATGAATTAAGGAAAGTATACTTTTTAATTTCTCCTACATTCTCCACAAGTTGTGATTTGTATGATAACCACTGTTTAGAGGATCCAATTATCTACAAGAATAGGCAAATGAATTTTTTTTTTCCCCATCCCACCCCAATAATTTTATGAAAGTTTCAAAACAGTGACCACAGTTGTAAATCCATTTTGAAAATTTTGTCCAGGTACCTAACTACTGTAACTGGTAATACATATACTGTCTATATTTAGATTATAATATACTGTAGACTGTAGACCATGGGCGCAGGCAGAAAACTTTCTAGGGGGGGGGGGCAAAAAAATCAATTAACTTTCTAGGTGGGGGGGGGGGGCAAAAATTTTTTAGTAATGTTTTAATGTAGTTTTAATTTACTGTAGANGTACAATTTTTTCTCACAACCAGCCGGGGGGGGGGGGGCAGTACCCCCCCCCCCTTGCGGGCGCCCATGCTATAGACTATAGACTATAGTCTATACTCACACATTATACCTTATACTTATAGTTATAAAAAGTATTAAAACTTACTAATAATACTAACTTACTTTTTAGCTAATAAATCATTATTTGGCCTAGGCTACTTCTTAGTTCTATTACTAAGTTAATTAAGACAAAACTATCTTACTGCCTTCTCACTTATAAATTTTAAATAAAAATATCATTGAAATCACTGTCACTGTCACCAAATGTCACTATTCACTATACTATAGGGCCTACTAATATTATAAACTCTATACTATTGAATATTGTATAGTAATATTAATATACTATAAATTATAAATTACTATAAACTATAATTAGGCATTAGTAGTAGGTATAAGTATAAAATTATAAATAATGTATGTGTTCATTATATAATTAATAATAGCCTACTACACTCATACTCATAATCATAATTAGAGTATTAGTATTAGATAACTTGTCTTAACTTTCTTCTTAAGCTAATAACAAACGTCAAACAAACATTGAAACACTCATACATTAAACCTATTACTCAGTTAACTCACATGAATAGTTTTTCCTAATTTAATTTTAATTAAGACAACGATAAGAACACATCAAATCAATTAAGACTGAAACAACACGGAAGTCAAATTTACGGCCAGCGTCATGAAGTATTAATAAAATATCCTGAACTCATGGGGAAGATAAAGATAATGCACTAAAGCTTAATACTAAGGGTTGTTAATCATATCGGGGAATCCCATTCAGCTTTCCCGAAAAATAAAAACCGTGCGGCAATCAGAGGCATTCATAGCTTGACTAAGTTTTCGAGAAGAAAACGAAGGCATGACGACGTTATTATAAAAAGCAAACATTTTGCATTGGCACATTGGCGGATTTAATAAAGGTGTGTGTGTGGAGGGGGGGGCATGGGCGCCCGCAGAAAACTTTCTAGGGGGGGGATCGATTAACTTTCCAGGGGCGCCGGGGGGGGGGGCACATTTTTTTAGTAATGTTTTAGTATAGTTTTAATTTACTGTAGCGTATTTGTATGGTGAACGAACGGACACGACATCAGCTTAGTTACTTTCTCTTTATTTTCTCTTCACTTTAATAAATTTTTTGTCTATTTTTGTCTAATTTTTTTTATCCAATCAATCCAGGGGGGGGGAGTGCCCCCCTTGCCCCTACCTGCGGGCGCCCATGGTGGGGGGGGGTGTTAGTCAGGGGTCCCAAATGTGTAGGGCTCTAATTTACAGAAATTCATTTTTTTTAAAAAATCAATTTAAAATGGTTAGACTTACAATGCTAGTTATCATTTAGTAATGAGTAAAGTAAAGATAGTGACATTACTTGCTTTGAGTTTGAGTGTGTGTCCAAGACAAGACATAGGCCTACATCACATAGGTCTATGAAACATAGCCAATATTGCACGAATACTGAATATTACGGCTAAACTAAAATAAAAATTTAAAGCTAAAAACAGCCTTAAAGTAGTTCAACGGATAAAGACTCTCCCAAAACGTTTGGGTACTGCCCGGGAGTCAAATGAAATCAATTCCATTACACAAGTTATGAATTGTGTAAACTTTGATTCCTAGCATAGGCCTAACTTGCATGAGCTAGAGAGGATTGGTGAGCCTTCAAAAATAAAAATAAAATTAGTTTCATGTAAAAATCCAAATATTTAAGTTAAATAACACCATTTTTTTTTCTAAAATTAAGAAAATAAAAAAGCTTGATGCAAAAATGAATCCATGTGTCTGCAATCTGCAATAAGCTCAATCAGACTAAAACGATAGTGGCTATTTAATAATATTCTTTACAGTAACGTCTAGGAAGGGTGTTCCTCCCTAATGAAGGTTTTTGTTTTGTTTATATATATATATATATATATATATATATATGGGTAATAAAGCGTTGTTAAAGTAGACCCATGCCTTATATAAGACTGATTCTCAGGATGAAGGGATTAAATAATATTATATTAAACTGCCATATCCAGCACTGCCCAGTAGGCAATGCTATTACGAGAGGGCTTCCTTTAAGTTTTAGTACAAAGTACAAAGCAACAAGTCGTTATACAACCGTGTACATTCTCATCAATTAACTTGATGGGCAAATCCACTGAAGTAAACAGTAAAGGGGGGGGGAGGTATATAAAAGCATTGGTCATCCGCAGTGTATCTCAATGAGGGTCAGGTGATCCCCTGATATAACAACATTACTAACTAGTAGGGGCCCACTGTGAAAAAATACTGAGTAAATTAACCAGTGTTTCTTTCAGACAATTTCCCCGGAGTTGGGGGTTGGGGGCATTTCAGATTTTTCGGGAGGGGGCAGTACCAGTGGAAAGAGGGGTAGCTAGTGTGGGCATAGGGAGCATATGTCCTTGGGTGCCAGACTAGCGGGGGAACCTAATGAGCTATAGTGTTAATGGATGAAAATAATGGATTTCGGATTTTAGTTGGGGGGGGGGGAGGTAAAAATGAATCTTGTCCACTGGCACCAAACACTCGCGTCAGTGACGTAGATGGGGGGGGGGGAGAACAGTTCGTCTGCCCAAATGTTTTTTTTTTTTAAATCTTTATATTGAGTGGCGGGGTTTTCGGACAACTGCAGAGTTTCTTTTATGAAAGGTAGCGCGGCAAAATAGTTAACCCACCAAGGGTGGCGCTGACGCTAGGCACGCCGCTGGGCAGTGTATATATCGGCACCGAAATTGGTTTTCAGGGCAAGCAATGCTGCCATTTTTATCGGGAAGTAGATTACAAATCGAGCCTCCCGATGCCTTTTCCTTAACCAGAAAATGTTTGATTATTTAAAATCAAGAGGTGCATTTTGTAGTATACATAATTTGAATGTTTTGATAAGACTATTTGATAAGAGAAAATACGTTTTCAAGCGTAAGGGGAGGAATTAATACGCGCCAAGTGCCATACATAAACTAAATTCATTCTGGTTGTGGTGCGCCCAAGATAATCATTTGACACAAGGAAGGGAGGAGCAGAAATTGAGGAATCAGAATAATCTTGAGCAAAGCAGGGGCAGGGGTCCACTTAATTTAAAAATAATAAATTCAAAATGCTGTGTTGCATTTTGGTGCATTTGTAAATTCAATGTTTCTTTCAGACAATGTGTGGTGGGGCATTTCAGACTTTTATATTTTGACTATTAGATAGATGTCTCCTGCAGAAATGCTACGAATAACATCAACATGCACCCACTAGATGTGGACTTGAAAACAGCTTATTGTGGACTACAAAACAGCTTATAATAGCGTAGACAGGAAATAATTATACGATGCTGTACTGAAACTTAAAAGTCCCACTCAAACTAACCCTGCTCATACATATGACGATGGATAGCTCCAAAAGTAGAATCAAAGTACTGTCCATCAATTATTATCTTTGGTAGAAACAGCAGTGGTATAAGTAAAACTTTCAGGGAACTTGAAGATGTCATGGTCAAAGCTTGTCTTGAGGTAATGAAGCGAAGATAACATATATGCTAATGTCAGGAAACATGCACATTGATGACAACATCAATATAAACAACCACACCTTTGAGAGAGTAGCTATTTTTCAAAAAGCTAGGGGTGAGCACAATGTAACCGCTGTTATTTCTACTTATAAAGGCTACTAGGAAGCAAAAACCTCTCCAGGGGAACAAAGAAGAGATTTTACACCACTATCATAAGACCAGTAGTAACTACGCAAGTGAGACTTGGTTCCTACCAGAAAAGCAGATAACTTGCTCAACACATGGGAGATGAAAATTCTCAGGAAAAGATTGTAATAGAGAATGAATGACACACTCTTCTGCGTTCGGTGTAGCAACTGGCCTTAATTCAACATTATACACCCTTTTTGTACCTCTACATTCATGATCACTCATTCCACTTTTCCACGTATTTAAGTTTAAAACATTCATGAATAAAAACAACTCACGACGTCCAGTCATACCACATAACAACAACAGCACAGGCCAATCAGGTCACCAACTTCACTCACTACTCACAATAATAACCGTCAATCATGCTGTCACAAATATATGGCCCGGTGGTAGACATTTTTGTTTTGGGGATCCGTACAATCCAAGAGCTGATATTTCAATGGCACAAAGACCCATCCATAGTCGCAACAGTTAAAAAAAAAAAGGCAGATTGTCCTGGACTGGATATATTGAAAGGATGCCGGATTCTAGAGCAGCAAAAATGATCTACAGGCAGAAACATATGGGCAGACAGCTCCCCGGTTGATAAAGACAGAGATGGATTGACAATGTAGAGAAGGACTTACAAAGGCAGGGGGAAAGTTGTGGAGCAGGCCAGGGCCCTATAAATGGGATGTGACGCCACCGATGAAGACATTTCATACTTTTTGGTGGGAAGGGCTAGAAATAGCCATAATAACAGGGGCATCTCTAACTCTTCCACCAGCCTAAAATTAACTAAATTAATTCCATTTGGGAGCCCTTTTAAGGGTATATGCTTTTTGTCGAGAGATACTCCCTTGCTTAATCTCGCAACTTAAAACTTTATAGGCCCCTGAATTTTTTTAAAGAAATTCAAAATTAAAGAATGCATTTTTGGGCATAGTTAAATTTAGCTATGCACCATTATACACTTAAATGGAGGGCAGCGGGAGAGATGCTAGTTAAGATTTTAGGTGTCACATGACCTCGGAGCCGTCTGCAACCCGTATAGCTGCATAGGGCCTCGTATATTTTAGGGGCTTAAAGTTGTGCTATAGTTACTTTAAATGAGCAACTTTTAATGTAGGGAAGGACAAAACCGAAAAGTAGCAGGGGTTACACAAAAAGTCAAGCAACGTCTCTGCTTGACTCGGTGTGTTATACAAATATATATTTTTATTCTACTGAAGGGTAGCGTGTTTTTTAAGTTTTTATTAAAAATATGTTTGGGGTAAACTACTTAAGAAATAATGAACTTACAAAAAAATATTTGTTAAATTAAAAAGCAATTCCTTCCAAAAAAGGTATTCATCACAAAAAAGATTTGCCAAAGTAGTTTTACATGTTAAACGAAAAAGAAAAACCAAATCATACGTTTATTGCTAAAATATTTCCAAGTTTTACCAATGTAGTTTACTACTACAGTGTTATTAAAATCGTTCAACTTGTGAAGCTGAAAAAACATTGATTAATTAAAATACCAATAAATGCGAACAATAAAAAGTAAGATTTTGCTTATGATTAGAAGCGGCCAATTTTCAAAACAATACGATATTTATAATCGAATGCTGAAAGCCTGTAACAAGATTAATCTAAACGATATGGATCATCAATATATTTCGAGAAAAGCTTCCATTAAATGTAATCGATGAAAGGCGCAAACTTCTATCACTTATAAAAAAAAAAAATGTGATACAAATTTTAATTTAGAGTAGTTTTTTATTTTAAAAAAAAATTCGTACACATTTTTCCCTGGGGGGCACTTGACAGACTTGGGGGAGGGGGGAGTGTAACCCCCCCCCCCCCCCCCCCCCCCCGAGGTATGCCTGAAACCAACCATGAATTTTACTGAAAGTGAACTTAAGAATTAATTTATTCCCCTAATTTTGCGGGCGGCCATGAA